TTCATAATCTTATAGATGAGTACACTTTTTTTTGCCCAATATGGAGTCATTTTAATTCTCCTATCTTGATATAATTTAACTCACTGCAATCATATACATTTGTTGAATCACATTGATCAGATTTGCTGTAATATAAAAAATATATATATATTGCCTATACTGCTAGCAAGGTAGATTAAAAACAGTAAGCTTGTTCTCAATAACTTAAAAAGGCTTTCTTTATATATATTCACCTTTTCTAAAAATCTAAGAAAGTGCATATGTTTTTTTAAATGTGTATGTAGCATAACATAATTAACCAATTTCAATAAGAAGATTAGTGTGAGAGCAACATCAGATATATAGCTCACAAGAAGCAAAAGAATGATTATGTTCTCTCTTCTTTGTGTAGCTGGAGTACTATTTTATTACTACCATCTTATAAATTAATTAATGAACACTGGTATATGTGGGTGGCGGGGTGGATAGTAATGACTTCTACCCTAAAGATCAAATTGGTGCCAGGATGGAATACTAGGCAACAAAAGAAAACTACATTTTAACAAAACACTAACTCCTCAGTAGGGAATAAACATGCAGTCATTTTTCAGTCATTCTTATCTTGTGATTGCATTTATTAAGGCACAAATCCATCCTGTATCAGGACCATACGGATTACATTGACCTAAACCTTTTTTGAAAACAGTTTTATTAAGGTATAATTGATACCTTAAGAAACAAAAACCTTCATATTTAATATATACAATTTGATGAGTTTGGAAACTTTTGAGACAAATTTTGGTCTTTGTTAGTTGATATGATCAACATAAGAATCTACACAAAACTTACTAGAATCCAAATTTTTAAAAAATGAACTTTTAACCATTAGAGGCCTTACAAATGATAGCACAGTGTTTTTGATGCCACGAGACCTCTCTACTGGTTCATTAAAACATAGATCCATGTAAGAAAGCAAACTTGTTTTTATCTAGCCAAAATGCAATCATAGCCCTTTCTTTTCAGATAGCATCTGAATTTTGTATAGATTATGAGGGTAATATCTAAAATAATAATCATCCTAAATTGGTAAACCTTGGAATTCTGGAATATGACCAACAATCCGCCCACTGGCAGTGATTATGAGAAAAATGATCATTGATTAATTCTCTCTGATGTTATATTCCTTGGTGCATGTAGGAAATATATTGAGAAAATCGTTAAGGGTTATAATAGAACAAAACTATAAACTTCAAAATACTTGCCATGTGAAAAATCACAAAATTAAAATCACAAAATAAATACATTAAAAACCATTTATTTCCTATGTGTGTTGAACCAAGCTGAAGACATTCTTTAATTTTTGGAAAGATTTTATGCAAACACAAGGACATTTGTTCTGGGATCAGGAGAAGATTTTGATTACATTTGCAACAAATCAATGTACTTCGTATTTACAAATATACCAAGTCAAATTTAGTGACTTGATACCGCTCAAGATTTCATGAGAAAGGTGAACTTATTTATTTATTTTTTCCAGTGATGGATGATCAGGAATAACAGCTGAAAAACAGTTGGACACATGGTGTGTCATGCTGATGATTTCCATGTTAACAGAAGATGTAATTCTATTTTAGGTGGTGTTCTCTACTGGCAACAATTAATAGCTTTACCACCTGGCCTAAGATTATAATTTTCTGTGCTTATTAACCTTAAATATTTATATGGCTATATTTTTCCCTGTGTCAAATAAGAAACGTTTTCTCAATTATATGGATTATTTCTAGGTAATTATGTTTCTGTAGCTTATGCACCAATCAAACAAAAATTATTTTTTAAGCACCATAGCTGAAGGGATTTAACCAGCATACCTTCTTTAAACACTATTTCATTTTTATTCTGCACACATAAGTCTTCTGTCAGAAATTAACTCTAGTGCTATGGCATATCATGTTGGATCATTTGAAGTCAAAATGCCAAGCGATATTTGTTGCAAAGAAATATATAGAGAAAAGATCTATGTTTCAATTTAAGATGCAACATAGTTCACAAAACTCCAAGTTGGCCTGCAGTTGATGAAAAATTAATTTGGAAGACTGAAGTTTCAAATTTGTTCTTATAATAAATATATGCCAATTATAGTGGTAAATGATAAGAAATGATGAAAAATGAATTAATATAGTGACATAGTTCTAGTTGTTTGACATGTTTTTTAATAAATGACAAAAACCATAATAAGTGATGTTAACATCTTATGCATAAATACTGATATCTTCTTATTTAGTTTAAAAACTACAAGTTTGTTATTATAAATTAAATTGAATTTATATTACAATACAAAATACAATTGCTTAGTCCTCTATGGGTGTGTGTATCAGTCAGGGATCTCCAGAAAAAAACAGAATCAATAGAATACTAGGTCTATCTGTATCTATCTATCGATCATTCGATATACCTACCCACCCACCTAAAGAGATTTATTTATTTTATAGTATTGACTCAAGCTGCTTGACAAATCCAAAATCCGTTGGGAAGGCCAAAAGGCTAGAAACTCAGGCAGGAGTTAATGCTGCAGTCTTGAAGGAGAATCTCTTTTTTTCTAGAAAATTCAGTTTTTGCTCATAAGGCCTCTCCATTGACTGGATGAATGGCACCCACATTATCAAAGGTTATCTCCTTTGCTTAAAGTCAACTGATTGCAGATATTAACCACATTGACAAAATACCTTCACTGCATCACCTAGGCTAATGTTTGATTAAAAAAGTTGACACAGAAAACTAACCACCACAGTACAGTGAAATATAATATACAAAATCTTAGACACAAATTTACCTATATGAATAGAGCCTATGTATTTGAATTAGATTCTGTTATTCTCTTCCAAATGCTAAAACTTTGTCTTTGACCTTTGCTCTAATAATAGAAACAAAACAAAATTTAAAAAAACCAAGAAGCTTAATTCAGTCATTAAATTTGAGTAAGACAAAAACAGTACAGAAATAAGAAAATTAGTATAAGAGTATCTTCAAATACTTAAGCAAACAGTAAACTATTTTAGTTTTGGTTATTTTGGGTAGGAGACAACCTGGAGAATTTGCAAATGTGTAATATATGACACAGTGTTTTCCTTGTTTCTAGGGCTTAGAGATGTTGAGCAATATACTAACTGAAAGTCATGACATATTTTTTCTATGTTTTTCATTGCAAAAATGCATCATGAGTTTTCCGGCAACCCAATACTTAGGCTCTCTCCTCTTGAATACAGAAGATTCTTTCTAGGTTATCTGCTAACTGAAGTAAAACCACTCCAGAGACCCCAATATCTTAAATAGTATTAAAATAGAGAGGAAATGCCCCAAAAGATGAAAATCTAATTATAGTGTATGAAAATACTTACATTTTAGTTTGATAAATTTTATAAAAATTAGAGACCACATTAAATCAAAACCAAACTAGATTTAACTGAAGTAAGAAATCTAATAAAACTGCCACTTTGACTTTTGAGAGGTTAAAAGGGGAAGTGTTTGAGTGATTTAAAGGGGAATAAAAGGACAATGAAATTTAGAAGCCCTGAGGGACTGCAGTAAAGATTAGTTTTTCTCAGAGGTGGGGTTGCAAGATGATGAATTATTCAGCCTGCAACCAGCTAGCAGTGAGCAACTTGCCATCTGTTTCCCCTTTTTATATTATCATTATTTAACAACACATCTTAAAATGTTTGGAAGCCTAAACTCAGAGTTCGTGAGTGTGTCTTTTTTTTATTCCCCAATTACACTCATTTTATTATATTTTATGATGTCTAACTTGACACTCTTGTTTTATTGTGCAATATGTTCTTGCTTCAATTACTACTTTAATCTGAGAAAGCATATACAAATATATACCTTCAAGAAGTGTGGGAATCAGGCAGCCGGTTAGCTTAGGTGGTTAGAGCACAGGCTGCTAACACCAAGGTTGCTGGTTCGATTCCCACATGGGTCAGTGAGCTGTGCCCTCCACAACTAGATTGAATGACAACAGATTGACTTGGAGCTGATGGGTTCTGGAAAAACACACTGTTCCCCAATAAAGTTTTTTTTTAAAAAAAGAGTGGGAATTCTTATTTTCCTTAAGGTGAAAAAAATACTCTGTCAAATTTGTAGATTGTTTTGAAAAGATTGGCATGAAATTGTGAGTTAAATTTTCATTATGTTTTTATTAGCTGAATGTGGAGGTCGTTTTAAAGGAGAATCATCAGGAAGAATCTTATCTCCTGGTTATCCCTTTCCATATGACAATAATCTCCGTTGCATGTGGATGATTGAGGTAGATCCGGGGAACATTGTCAGGTAAATGGATTTCATTTTCTCAAAATTACTGGGGATTCTGAATTTCCTGATCAGCTCTTAAAAGTACAATATCAGTCAACATCAAGCTGTTTCAATATTTTTAATCTTGGCAGGGAAAAACTTGGTTTTCATCAGTTAAACATGAAAAAGTATGCATAAGCATGATTTATTGATTTATAAGACACAGTGATAGCTCATATAATCCCTTAGAGGGAAGTTTTCATAGTTACAAGAAGGCACAGAGGTGACAGTTTTTCCTGCTTCTTGGGCACTCTACTCTTTTAATTCTTGATGACTGAAGATGCTGAGTCCACCATTTTCATAGGTATACAAAATTGTCCAGGCCACTATCATAAATTCAGCCTCACAAACATTAGAAGAAATGAGAATAGAAGGGGACTCAATAAATGTTCTCAGTCTTCCATGGCTGTAGGCCTATCTCTGGAGCACCTGTTCTCTGCCCCTTTAACCATGTTTGATTTCCCTTTAGATGAAGGCAGAACCATTGCCTCCTAAATCAACACCAGCAGAGTTCCAAGGCTATCACATGCTCTCAGTCTTAGTTTAACTGCTATAGTTATGGCTGAGAATGGATTAATCAATGAATACATCGTCCTTGACATATGAGCTCATTAGTGTTTTATTGCTCACAAAACAACTTTGAACTTAAGGATCCCTGCTTTATATATATGGAATTTCAGACATGCTTCTGGGTGGTGCACGTGGTTATGGAAAACAAGTATCGTCCTTCAAAGAACATGCTGACAGGTACACTGAATGCATTGTTGGATGTAAACGGGTACGTTGTTGAATGTGAACCAATACGTCGCTTTTGCAGAACTCAAAGTAAACTGCACTAGATCAGCCCTCAGCCTATTTTTATCTAGTATAGATCATGTGTTGTTTTATTTAAATGTTAGAATTAGTAAACTTGAAAGTAATTTCAACAGGATTTTTGATTTTTTCAATTAAACAATATTTGATATTAAATTGCAACCCGAATTTAAATCTACATATCAAAACATGAATCTGATATATATGTAGAGAAAGTTGGGTTGTTGGTGTAATTGGAGTTCTAATTTTTGACACTAGCCACAAAAAGTATCAGATACTAATTTTGTCTAGACAAAGCAGAATAGATTTAATATGAAAGAGTTTTTTGGAGGTTTTGAGGGTTTTTTTGCTTTTCTTTTTTTTTTTGGAGATTGGGAAGACATTATTTTTCATGTTAATTAAGTTCCCCTTTACTCCTAGATTTCTGGGTGTGACTATAATGTTGGATTTTTAAAAATACTTTTCCTGCATATATTGAGAAGTTCATGTGATTTTTTATTCCTTGTATCTGTCATTATGATTGATTTATGATATGTATTGATTGATTTTTGAATGGGAACTATTCTCACATTCCTGGAATAAGCCTCATTTGACTCTAATCAAACAAACAAATATGAAAGACTGGTAAAAATTATGTACTATGGAGTCAGAAAACGTTAACTCAACTCAGGACTCTGCCGCCCTTTGGACAATTTTATTTCATCTAAATGAAATAACTAAACTCTATTTGCCATATTTATAAAATTGAGATAAAACTTATTCCTGTTTCATTGGGTCATTATAACAATTGAACAAATAAAAAAATATGCAATGCATTATGCAGAATGCCTCGCAGGTACCAGATCCTCTGTAAGAGTCACCTGCTGTTGCCATAGTTGAAATTCATGAACACTGAAAAGAATGTATATCTGAAATTTTGTTAATTTACAAAGGCGATGAAATAGTACACATAATTATAAAAAAGTAAATTATACTGCTCAGGAAAATTCATTATGGTTATATATACTGTGTACATTTCTTATTTGATAGAATAAAAGGAACATCTAATAAAAGCAAGGATGCAGATTTGTTATATTCTTTATGTAAAATTGAATCCATGTTTAAAATAATCAAACATATAAACATGTTTCTCCCACAGCCTACAGTTTCTTGCTTTTGATACGGAAGCATCACATGATATACTCCGAGTTTGGGATGGTCCCCCAGAAAATGAGATGCTCTTGAAGGAAATCAGTGGCTCCCTTATACCTGAAGGAATCCATAGCACCCTCAACATAGTAACCATCCAGTTTGACACGGATTTTTACATCAGCAAATCTGGATTTGCGATTCAGTTTTCAAGTAAGTTACTATTTTATTTCTTAAATGCAAAACAGGAATGCTACTCAAAGAGTTCTGTTAACTTTACTGTTCAAAATTTTAGTTTTAAAAATTTAGGGATTTGAAATATTCTTACTTAACCTTCTTATTCACCTGAAGTTAAAACAAAATACATTTGGGGAAAGACAATACAATTAACTTTGAATTAATCAATAAATTAATTTAAATTGTCTTTCCAATTGTCAAACCCATTTTCCTTAACATACAGGTGAAGGTGATGTTAAAATGACTTTGCAAATGAAATAATTACATTACTAAAGCTTGTAATCTGGATTCGCCATAAAACTGTATATTTCGAAATGTGAAATTTTGGGGCCAGCCCAGTGGTGTGATGGTTAAAAACTGGCTTTGGATGCCAGAGAGCCCCAGGTCGGATCCCACATATGAGTGCCAGTGACACTGCCCTCTACAGCTAAGATACTGAACAACAGCTCAACCTGGAGCTGGGCTGCCATGAGTCACTGGCAACGGTGTAGGCTGCAGCCTCTGTAGCAGTGGGTTACCATGGGCTACCGTGTGTAATCAGCAGCCAGCGTGAGCGGCCAGCAGCCCCAGAGAGCAGCCGTCCAGAAGCTGATGACTGATCTGCCTTGCCTGGGAAGAGCGCAATGATGGTGCCAACTTGGGCCAGTGAAGCAACGTCCTCCACAACTAGACTGAAGAACAAAACGATAGCAACTTGTCTGTTCCCCTTCCCCCCAATTCCCCAGCACTGTTCCCATCCCCCCAATTCCTCCCCCCCCAAAAAAAAGTGAAATTTTCTGGGTAAGGAAGGAAATGCTTACAAAAAATGCAACTCTACATTTTGACTAATGTAATTTTTCTTCATTTAAAGGCCTTATATATTCACAAATGTCTTTGACAAAAACTTTAGATACACTTTTAAAGATTTCCTATAAAAATGAAATGCATTCATTATAAGAAATTACCAAAGTTCATGGCCTTTTTTTTTTCAAGACACTGATAAGTAGCTAAATATATGTTGTTCGATAAAAGGAATTTTGGTTTAATGGCTGAGAAAGTAAATGAAAACTTAAAATTTTTAATTGCTATGTTTTTACTTTCTTGCCAACACACATTAACTCTTAAAGAAAATTATCTAATGGATTTTCTAATTGTATAGTATTTTAAAAAATCCTGTCAGCAGAAACCTGTGTAAATTTGCAAAATCATCTATAAAAAGGGTACAAGCCAGTATTTTTCAAATGGGCCTGAATTCAAATTCTCGCTCCTTATTAGCTGCTAACTTTGGGCACCTGACCATTCATCACTTGTGACTGTTTTCTAGTTTATGTAGGAATAATAGTGCTCACCTCATAAATAAGTTATTAGGATATAACATGGTCACATGTGCACAATGCTTAGTATTGAGTAGACAGTTGGTGCCTCGTAAACTATTATCATTATATGAATAAATGTAAAATTGAAATTTTTTGAAAAACCTTGAAAAAGCATGAAGGACTTTTGAAATTTGTCCAAAAAATATATCACTTTAGGTAAACAACTAGTTAATACAACTAAACAATTAGCAGACTTTTTGTTCATGGAATGCAGTTGTTTGACGTAAATGAAAAACATAAATGAATTGTTTTGTATTGTATAAGCCACGCATAGAAGAATCAATATCTATAAATTTGCACTTATATATATAATATATATATATTTATATTTATATTATTTTATGATTTAGAAAAAGAAAAAAGTTGATGGATAATAAGACCATTATCATGTATAATTAGTGAATATAAATGTCTCCTAATTCTGAATCACTAATTAAACATTCTTCTTATTTATATCTTCCATTTTCTATTGTTTATCTCTCTCTTTTTGATGGCAGGAACAATTTGTCAAAGCACTGCTCATGACTGCTGTTCAATTTCAGTTCTTTCTGATTAGAATTTGGCAACTAATAATTCCCTTTCCCTTACCTTAAATTAGTACTATGTAATGTTTTACACTTAAATGTTTATTGTAATTAAATACCTGAATTCACCCATATGAAGAAGTACCTCAGGCTAGTGTTTGTGAATGCCAAGTGCATCTGTTTAAGAGAAATAGAGTGTTTTATGTGAGTTTCTGGGAATTCCTAATGCAGGTTTGCCTGTGAAATTAGCAATGCATTTTTATATCTATTGTATTTTTCTGGCATATTAAAGTTATAGAAACAATATGTATCATACCAGAGTTTTAATAGATCTACCTTATTTTAAGAGGCATAGAAATTTTCACTACTGATCTGAGGCTAAAAACCTGCCTATTGAAATAAAATTACTTTGAGGATTAATAATTTGTGAATAGTACCAACCAATGAAAATTAGTCCCTTGGCTGGAGGTCTCCTTTAACTCATGCTTACACAGCTTTCCAAGTTTCCAGATTTCAAATTTGAAAATATTCTCTAATGAATTAAGTCCTGTTCGGAGTACCAAGAACCATGTTAAGTGTTTTATATACATGATCTGATTTAATCATCACAAAAGGAATAGGAGATATATTATTTCATCCACATTTACCAAATACTCTACGGTTCAGAAAGTGAGTTAATTTGTTCAAGGTCATATTGCTAGTAGATGACTCAAATCCACATGTGTTTGAAAGAAATTACACCATGTCTGGTGCATAGTAATCACCTAGTAGTTATTGCTATTATTATGCTGCCATTATTACTTAGATACATGTATTAATATGCTCCAGGAAATAGAAAGCTTTTAGTTATATATTATCTATTACAGTGAAGTTCTACAATTTAATCAATTTGTGTTTCTGATTATTCTTCCAAGTACCACATCTAGTCACACTTTAGAAAAGCAGGTGATTAAGTTAAAAAAGCAGGTGATTAAGTTCAGGAAGTAAGTTTTCGAACGTTCCATCATGTAAGTAGATGGAGGAAAGTTCGTGAACTTAATTGTCTGAGCTTTTGTAAGTGTAGTAGTGAGGAGGAATGAAGGAAAGCTGGAGTGCATGCATGTCTGTTTAAAAGGGACAGTTGTCCCCTGTGCTATAGGCATTTTGTCCTACAGGAAGACAGGCTAATTTTAAAGTGGAACTTGAAATAAGGAGTTTTATGTCAAGTCACCTAATTTTCAAAGAAAACAGCTAATCTTAAAGAGAATGTTGACACACTGTAGGCCAATAAACCACTGCTTTAGGTCAAATTTGGCTTGCAGGTAGAGTTTCCCACTTCAGTGTCCTACCTAATGTCCTCTGCCCTAGAATAATTTATCTCTTGTTACGCATTCATTCATTTGCTCATTCATTCCTTGTAGGAATGTCTATTAGGGACCAGATATTAAACATATTTATCTCTATTTCTCAATTGCACCTTCCCTTTTACTCAGGCAACTCTTAGTTTCATATAAACACGCACACACACACACACATACACACACACACACATACACACACACAATGTTGTACTGCTTTCTGCCTGTACACCTTTTACATGTTTTTCTGCTCCCTTTTGCTTATGTCTTACTCCTTCTTCCAGACTCAGCACTAAAATCTCTCTCTATAAAACATTTTCTGACCTCTATAAAACATATTTCAGCCCACGCCCCAGGCACAAGCTGTAATTTTTCTTCCAAATAAAGATGCAAATAAATGGTTTAGCAATCCATTGTTCTGAAGATGTTTTAATTATGTGATCTTTGCTTCCCCAAATATATTGTACCTTTGTCTCCCTAAATGTCTGTAAACAATAAGATTCTGCTCATATAGTTTATTACCCTAATCTAAGATCTTTTTTTTAGAGTAAAAGGGGGAATTATTAGAAATTAAGCATAAACCAGGACAGTCATGGCCCAATCAGGATGTATCATTTTAATGGTCAGATTTTTGTTCTATCCCTTTTCCCCCCACTACCACAATGCCAGTTCCTGTTTTGAACAGATACCTTTGGTTTTTTGAGTGTCACATAAAAAAAAAAAAAGGAACGAGTCAGGCAATAGTAACAGAACCGTCTTCAGCAACAAAATGCAGCCAATGAAATGTATTTCACTGAACGTGGCACAAAGTGACTTGAGCTGAAATGTGGGTCACTTACCAACTGTATAATCATCTAGACACGATCAGCAGCCTCATGCCTTCTAGCTCATGATCTATTAATTTTTTTGTAGGGCCTGTCACTGTGATTCTTGGTGTTCTAGTCTTCAAGCCATTTTTGCTTAATCAGAGCTACTTAAGTCTGACATTGCCACCTCATGCTGTCCCGTGTGCTGTCCTTGGTTCTCAGCAGTGAGCCTCTCTATCCCCTGCTTTAATTGTAAGCTGCCTGTCTCATCCCACTTTAGTTCCTCAGGGAGGACATGTTTGAGTATCATGCTGTCATTTGCCAACAGAATAGATGATTCTGACAGAGCCTTTTCTGTGCTCTTCACTTATTTGACCTCCCTGTTAAGAATCTGCCCCTGCTGGGCAATACAAAATACCAAGGCGTATAGCTCATACTGTTGAAAATTCTCAAGGAAATGGATGTCTCAGACATGAGAGGTTGATGTCTCCCCGCCTCACAGGCCTGCTTGATGGCCCTGCCTTTGTTTCTATCCTCATTATTACCGCCTGCATGGCTGTAACAGTTGACTGGCCACTCACTTCATTATCTCTCCAGCCAGACTTTTCTCCACATTTCCACCTCACTGATGGTTTTAAAATACAAATCAGACATTTAAAATTCTTTAATGGCCACACAGTCATTTTAAGTTCAAAACTTTGGAATGCCCTTTAAAGCCTCCCCGATTTGCATCCCAGCTACCCACCAGCTTCCTCCCTCACTATTCATGTCCACACATCCAGTCATCGAACCCCAAAGGCCAATGTCCTTTCACATTTCTGCTTCTTTTGTAAACTGTCTTCCATCTTCCTGAAATACTTATGTCCACATTCAAAATCTATGAATCTTAGTCGTTTTCCAAGATTTAGGTAAAATGGTGCTTCTAGTACAGATGAACTCCTAGGTAGAATTAGT